TGATGTTGAAGAATGGATTCCCTTCTGTGGCTCTAATCCCATAAAAATCTCACAGCCCCTGCTTAAGATGAAGCAACTTAGAGAAAGATTTTTGTTCCCAAGCATCCATTAGTATGATATGTATCTTGCTCATTTTTCCTTAGAATTTGATCTTAAGGAAGGTATGGAGTCACCTTCCAGGGACAGCAACTTACTCTTTAACTGAGTTCATGGAACATCCACAGCACAGAAGGAGCTTTTGCTGCTTTCTGTGTGGAGTGAAAAAGTAATTTTCTCAGTTTAAGAGAGGAAGCACAGTGCCAAGGTTCAGTATTTCAAACCCCATGACTTGTCCCCTGCGCTAACGACAATGACAGAAGAGGCAGAGGCAGTTAAGGATGGGAGACTGAGCGCAAGATGTAGCACCAACTTGCTACTAGACTGGGACCGTGCACTGCTAGAAGCTCCCTAGGCTTGCCTCTGCCAGGCCCCTTGCTGCGCTGTGCTAAGTTGCCATCAGGTGGATTGTGCCTGGGCCCGCAGGAGGACAGAAGGGTAAGTCATTCCCAGGTCCTCGAGTTCTGTGGATCTGAAAAAGGCTCAAAGCCTTTGTGCAAGTATCTTAGAAAATACCTGTCTTTTTTGGCATGTGCCATTAAAGAAGAGCATGAGGAACATCTGATAGACAGAAATACACAGAGGTAATGTTTTGTCTCTGTATGCATATTAGCCAGTGAGCTATTTTAAGTTCCACACAAATATATAGATACACAAACCAGCAACAGAAGGATATTTGTGATCTTGGTTAGAAGCAAAGCTATGGAATCCAAGGCTCTCCAGAGGGCCTGTGCTGGCTGCAGGCTGGGTGTCAAGCCTTTATTTGGCCTCAAAGGCAAATGGGAGTAAAAGGGAATAGGAATATCCTGTATTACAAATTTAAGCTGATCTGAGTAAAGGCCCAGAGAAGGAAGTTTCTTAGGCCACTCGCTGTGGCACAGATCTCATTTCAGGCAATTCAAATGATACCTATTGGAACTTCCTTACAGTGAAAGTAATAAAATTTGTTTTAAATATTGTTTTGACAATTTAGTTTCAAATTCATCACCATAATCCTAGTGTCACAGTTAGAATGAAAATGGTGTTTTATCTCATCTGCGTGCAGGAGAGAATGCAAAAAACAATACTCATGGTTGGAAAGGAGATGGAACAAGCCTTCCATAGGAACCAAAGACATGCCACTGCATGTAGTAATTGCCAAGTCTTTTAAAGTTATGACAGAAGCTGACTGTGACTTGTTCGTTCGAACTGGCTAGTCCAATTAGCAGCTATTTCCCCTTGCCCTCTTTGGTTTGACTTACACAGATTTGATCTGATGGATGGGGGATAAATGGGGCTAACTAGCTCTTTTGAAGATACACTACAGGTCTATTTTTAACATGGAGCTTAAGTCCAGGGAATGCACAGGATATCCTATCCTACCTAGGACAGGATGAAGCATGGAGTTCAGTCAAGTGGGACTCCCTAGGCTTTTACTGAATTTGCGGCTACTTTTCAGTGGCCTTTTTATGGAATGAACTTGTCTCTCAGAGTGGCAGCTGGTATGGTGGCAGGGAGGAAAAGGGGCAAATCAAGCATCATTATTTCTGTATGGGTTAAAAACTGGTGCACCAACATTGACTGAGAGTCTTAGGTCTAAACTTCACAGATAAGCTACAGAGAGAATTAACGTTTATGTTTTGCCAAGAATAAGTTGCCTAAACAAACTTGATACAAGCTCGCTCTCTTCTTTTGAAATCCATTACTTCCAAATTAGATTTGGGTTTTTTGCATCCATTACTAAAAATGTAGCTTAGCATTCGAAGGCACTGCTACATCTGCTTCTCCAAAATCCACTTTAAGATAAAGCCACATAAGCTTCCATTCTCAAGGCAGTAAACAATTTTACATGAAACCTCTAGTAGACTACATTAAAAAGCACATATAGGTTTCTTGGCCAGTGGTCTACTAATTAGCTACTACCATGCACACTAGCTGTATTCTGCTGCCTTTCACTGTAATGTTCAATAGCAACATACAATGGCAAGATCACTGTACTCTAATGTGAATTGCCATAAACAACCCAAACTACAATCACTCATTTGAGAAGTAAACTAATTTTTGCTTTTGTTAGGCACCATATACATAAATCTCATTAAAATGTCAATAATCGCTACCCTATGCACCATCATAAAGCAACTGCTATAAAATTTGATTAAATAATAATTTTGATTAAGTATCAAGTGATTGCATACTATCTTTTTAAACAGACAATAATCTGGAGTCCGAAAGTACCTCTTCAATATGTAATAACTCTGTATCAGTTTCATTCATTTTACATAGTTTACTGCTTGCTAAATTTAGGGTTCAGTCCTGTCAGTCACTTTTAATAAAGTCTCTCAAACATCTTCCTTGTTGGGGTACAAGCTGGACACAAATTTATTGCTGTGGAGGGATACTGTGAACAAGTATGGCTGCCCACATACGCAGGTTCTTAATATATCCATTATTTGGTAACAGTCCCCTTAAAGTAGTAAACAGCAGCAGAGAATTATTTTTTTTTCAGTTGGATTATTAATACCACATTCTTATTAAGAGGGCTGTCAGCATATTAGCAGCATTTGTATTTTAGCAGTTAATAATCCAAGCTAAAACTTGGGTCATAAAAATAGCCCTATGTAGAATCAGCATTTTTCCCTCTGGTGTACATGGTAAGGCAAACAATACAGAGAAGGAACAGAGAGCACTCAATAAACACTGGGGAAGAACTCAAAGCAAATGCTGTCCAGAAAGAACAGAGGTCAGACAAAACTCAGTGGTGGGGCTGAGGCGGACATGTTACTTGAGGTTTAGTAAGCAATTAGTGATTAGGCTCAGTAGCTGCAACGTTTTTTGAAAAGTCCTAAGTTGGGTTCATAAAAACTGTAAGTGTATAAAACTTTGTTAAATGGGAAAGATTACTGTGCATGTAGTACAGCTGTGCCAAATTATGTTTTTGTGGATGTGTTGCAATATATAGAGAACAGTTTTCAAAACTTTTTCTTATTGTTCTGAATGGCACCATTTTAAATCTAGCTTTCTAAAAGCTGGTGCATAGTTTCTATAATACATACTCCCTTGTTTCTTAGATTAAACTTTTTATGGAAATTGTCTTAGTTTCTTCTTTTTAGTAAATGAGTAAATTAATAATGCAGGTAATATGAAGAAGTAATTCAGTGTGAACTAAAGCTGCAGAATTGTTGAAACAGAAGGAGAAGGAACCATGGGGGTTTATACAGTACAAGCTTTTTTTTTTTTTTTTTAAACAAAAATGTGGCGGACAATTATGGTGGCACAGATTTTACTTTACTGTTAAGGCTTTTTCACAGACTTAGTTTAAAATGCAGCAAGGCCAGCCTACATGTATAAAGTATGTGTGCAAGTCCCAGAAATACAACCTTTTCCTCCATCTTTGTTTTCTGAACTATGGAACTACACTTCTCAAATTACAACAGCAGTGAAATACGGAGCTGCCCTTTTCTACCATTTTGCAGAGGTGAGAATCAAATTAAGGATGGAATGTATATCCATGCACTAGGGTGTGTGTATATGTGTGTATGGTTGTGGTTTTTATCAGGTTTGGATTTGCTTGCAAAATAATTCATTCCGTTTCAGAGGCAGCGACTGCTCAGAATGCTGCTCAAAAGACAAGTCCTCCCTCAAACCCTCCCGCCCCGTTGCTGAATTATCCTTTTACAGCAAGTGTTCACGCTTTCCTTTACATTTGCGTTGGCCAGAGAGTTAACAAGGCAAGTTTTAATACCTAACACCCAGGCATTAAAAATGTATTAATGCAACTATTTTTAGATACTATAAATATATATACCTTAAAACAAATGCGTCCTCTTATCAGTCCGTAAGGAACAGGTCCATAGCACCTGGAATCTGTCGAATTCCTGAGATTATCACCTTCTAACCAAACATGACCTTTAGGCACCTGTGATTAAGCAAGATTGAAATGTAAAAAGAGAACAGAATAGCATTAAGCATAGTTTGCCTTACAATGTATTTTCCGATTTCTCTGTTCTGTATTTCATGACTGTATAATGAATTAATTTTTTATTGAATTTAGTAAGACGCAGTGCCAGATTTGGAGGGATAAGGAGGAGTGCTCCAAAGTATCTGTTCTATCATGTGCTCAAAAAACAATGGTTTGCAACAAAAAATCCAAAATGAAGATGTAAGAGGTTAGACCAATGTGACAGGGTCATTAATTTAATAGACTTCAAAAGAGGTCATTAGGATGTTGACTGAAAATCTGCCCTCCTGTCGCAGTAACAGCATGAACAGGGCAGCCACACACTCATCAACATCCTGGGGCCAGCACCAAGGCTAGACCTGTTAGTAGATTCATGATGAACTAACTGGTAATTGATTGTGACATCAATTACGAATAATCTCATCATTTTATCAGAGTAGGCTTGTCAAAGTTCTAATTAAGATCACAGTTCATTCTATGTGCAGGCAGAATCCACAACACATTATATTGCAATAATGATGATCACAAAACAGCAAATCCCTTTTTGTAATTTGAAAATTAATGATGGTGACCTTATACTATATGACAAAGACCTTTCATTGCCTATATATATTATGTATTGACTATATTACATACCGTAGATTCATGGCATTCACTGACTGACTCAATGACAAAATGAGAAATAGCAACATAGCTGTGTTAGTTACCTAAGTAAGAGTATAAAGCTTTCATATATGAAAAAGTTGCTACTGTAAGTCTTAAACTAAGATTTCCGCTTGGAATATACACCCCTATTTTGATATGTTTTTTAAAAAACATTTCAGATATAAATAACCACTTACAAGTTACCAAATAAAATAATTATTATTTTATATTAATCTGTTTTTGTTTCTGAAATTCTAAAGCAGGCTGAAAATTTAAAAGTAGCAACAAATTCTCAATCTAGATAATATTTAACGTGGACTTTAAGTTAACATACATATTTTTCCAAAACCAAATACGTACTTGAAATGTTACTACGCCCACAACTCAGAGGGAAAAAAAAAAAAAGGAAACAAAATTTTAAAAACCCAATTTCAAATGAAACTCAGAGTTTGAGCAGTATAAACGTTAATGTTTTAGAATGAAGCCACATGGACTCATAAATACAATAGTCTACACACACAGAATTCAAGGATAACAGACTAAACAAAATAAAATACCACTCTAGTACTAGTGTCTGGATGTAAACCATTAAGAATAAAATCAGGTCGCCCAGATAAACATTTGAGGAGAATGCAGTTGAAGTGTAATCGTTGGTACTTACAGGTGTCTGGCCAGGTAACGCTTATTGGGACCCTTGTCTTTAAATAAGCCTTTTAGGCTCTTGCTCAGTCATGCTCCCACCTGCCTGTCACCAGACTGGGATCTGAGGACAGCACGCTACCCCAGAGTCCCTTTGTTTGCTGTTGCAAATGTATAAGCTACGGGTTGAGAACCAATAGTTTGTCTGTGACAGTGGCAAAAAGAGATACTCAGCATGGCCAGCATGTGTGAGTCTGTCCATCTCCTCCCCAGCACCCGCCCGTATTTCTCTGGTATCCAGGACAGGTGCGTTAGGCATGTCAGAGCGCACACGTCCCTGCCTCCTCATTTTAGAATCTGTATGTGGAGCTGCAGACCAGCAATATGTCTAAACCCTTTTGAAACCTACTGATACTGTCTCCTTCCACAGTCTCCTGTATAAAGGAGTGCTGCCTTGTTTGTTTTAAACTGATCTGCTAGTTCTAGCCAGGTCCTTTACTTCCTGTTCTCCCAGTCCTTCAACACAGGAATTCCATATCCAGCTTGCCTGCCACCTTTGTTACTTTGTAGGCTTATCAGATTGCTCGCATGTGCATGGAGAAGCTTTCTCTGGAAAGGCCAGTTGGTTTCAGCTACATGACTTTGGCCCTCCTCCTACCCAAGCAGCTTTGCAAACAAAATAACCAACCAGAAGTCAAATTTAAATAAATAAATTTTAAAAAATTCTATCCAAAGTCAAATGACCTGTGTAGAATACACATCTCATCACACGTGGACAGCTTTGTTGATAGGTCTCCATTTGAGAATGTACTGACATTCCTATTTTCCTCACAAATTCTGTGGTACACAGCCTGAGTAGAACGTCCAGCAGCAATTGTTAGGTTAGTTGGATAGTCATCTTCACTTATTTGCAGTGTACCACCTAAAGCATTCACTGCATCCACATCTTACACGAGTTTGTTTTTCAGGTGCATATTACAATGCAAAGCAGCGTTCTGACCTTGCTGGTGCAAACCCTCCTGTCCAGCATCTACCAGAATTACAAATCATACGTCAAACTACTGTCATTTTGAAAGACTCTCTCAGCAAATATACAAAAATGAGAAGTATAAATTACTATGAAAGGAAGATTTTTTTTTAATGAAGTGCAAAAGGAAACCCACATTAACATTTCACATTTCTGAAGAAGCGTCACTTCTTGCAGTGTGCTACTGTTTTACACGCTACCTGCTCCCCTTCTACTGTACCGGTTCCCATGCTTTCTCACGTTCCCCGATTCATAGGCAGAACATGAAGCTCATCTGTTAATATGTGAAATAAGGACCCACTCATAACACAAGTACATGCAAACACTTCTAGACCTTCCCGTCGTTCTTCCATGCTCTAAAATTATAAAAAATAAAGTGCTTTTGCCAGCTGTAGCATATCACTTACTACTGCTAATACTAATAAGAATTACTTGTCTAGGCAAGATGTTCATAGTTGGCATTCCAGATAGAACATTTGCAATAAAGTACATTCCTATATCCTGAAATTCACCACTTACGGTAACTTCCGTAGTTGTCCACGGAAGGTGTGACAGGACCCTGTACCTCTAAATTTGTCGTTAAGAGTACTGTCACAATGTATGATTCATCTAGAGATAATACAGTGTAATAACCTTTGTATGATGCCTGTCCATCATCTAGGCATTTCACTACAATCTAGAATTAAGACAAGCAATAAAAATCACATGAATTACATGAAAATGGAAAACCAAATACCAGTGACAGGCCATAATCATTAATTAAAAAAAAAAAGTTGGTTACACCCCTTTGAAATAAAGGCTAAAGCCAGAATCCTTCAAAGGGTTTATGCACCAAGCTATTTCTAGACCAAATCACCGATTTCAGTGGCATTACTCACATTGATCAGAGTTAACTTTGAGTATCAACCTTTGCAGAATCATGACCCAGTCTGAAACACCTCAAAACTGTGCAAGCACAGTAGCTGGGAACAAGATACGTTTTTAACCAAAGGAAAAAAAAAAAAAAAACTATTGAAAACTTGTATTTGTAGTGAGAATATATTAATTACACAACAATAGTCTGCTACTGCCCAAAAACCCAAGGCACTGGGAAAGCCACTTGCTTGACAGTTCACAACGTTGCATTTTGGTTATCTACAGGCCACGGACCTCTTGGACAAAATTAATTTTATCTACGAAGTACAACTGAAATCACAGTTACCATTACTACACACAGAAAGATTGTGAATACAAGAAAATTTTGACAAGAGTGCCAAAAGCATTTAACTTAACGCTGGCCAGCATTTCAGTTCTTTCTTACAGATAGGCCAGAACTAGGATGTGAAGGTCTCACAAGCCCAACAACTGAGTTTTCACACAGCTAACTAGGGGGTCACGTGCAAAACCAGCAATTCCAGAGCAGCGCAGGTGCATGTGAAAACACGCTGGCTCTGATCGCCTGCAGACTGCTCTCTTTGCCTCAGCAACCCTTGTGCCTCTGGTTTTGTGCAGATTATCTGAGGATTTATTTCCAAGGAACAGCAGTTCTCGGGCAGAACCGGTTATCTGAGGTGCAGCTTATATGCATGAGAATACAGGACAGCGATCAGCCGCATGACTCTTCCCCCTTCTCCCTTCCAAGGCTCTGAGGGCTCCAGGACAGGAGCCGACAGACCAGAAGAGCAAGATTAGCATTTAGAACAACGAAACGTGTAGCAGTAGCTCACTCTGTTCCAGCTCAGATACACAAGCATCTTTCACTGCCACAAACTGGCTAAATTTGGAGGGCTGTTCTCATTTACTTAGTGGTATCATTGAAGTGGCAAAACCGTCGTACAGGTCAGGTATTTGATGCATACTTACTAGCATAAAAAATTAATTTACATAAATGGGCACTGGGGGAATCAAAAAAGAATTCTATTCTTTTGGTCTTTTTACATGACGCCAAACTTTGAGTAATCTGACTAACTTCAAAACCAAGAGATGAGATGCCTGCCCTGCATTAACTGGCATACTAGAAAACCGATATACTGCAAATAAGATTAACAGATTAAATTATTTGCCTCAAAAATACCCCCAAATCCAACTAAATGAAAATAGGGTTTTGTGGTTTGGGTTGTTTTTTTTGTTTTGGTGGGGTTTTTTTTTTTTTTGGTTTGTGATTTTGGGGGACCTTGGTGGGGGAGGTACTAATGATGGAGAAATAGGGATTTTAATAAATGGAGACTTATAAACATGCATCTCTTGCAATCTCTCCTTTTGGAATTCCAAGCAGTCTGTGTTTGTCAAAGAACATCAGCACATACAATCAGCTGGGAGTAGATGAAGTTTGAACTTTCATAAGGTCACAGGTATTCACATCACCTCCAGCAATATCAAAGTTTCAAACTTAAGAAGAACTTTAAATCATTCCCATCTTTTCTTTTCAGCTCAGAGGCTTCCTTCTTGAGCTATGATAAGAACTAATCTCGGTGCTGGACAAAAGAATAAAGTCTGCAAATTCTCATCTATCCCTACTAAGGTCTATTTAAGTGCCTCCTACTTTGGTACAAGCAACAAATGTAATTGCTTCATGGCCTGCGGGTGTTCATCGAACAAAAGAAGCTTTTGTGAATAAACCACAGGTGTTACCTTTCTTGATTAAAGTGAAATATGATGAAAGAATCTA